TGTGAGACAACTGGATCGACAGTCTTCGTCTCGTTATCGTTACGAGTCACAGGGATACACCACTTATTTCTTTCCTTTCATTTTCTTTTTTCTTCTCAACGAAGTAAAACGTAGACGTTGATTAATACAGAACATTGATGTCATTGTTAATGAATAACATTACTCTAAAATTTTTATTTATTTTTTTTTTTCTTTAATATTTATCTTTATCTTCCTTCGAAAACTATTGAGAATTATTAAATGACATTAATCGCTGGGGAATCTGGTTGTGACAAAAAGAAAAATTATTCTCTATGAATTTTTATTTTTTTCATTAATCGTGCAAATCTCTAAGCAGATTAAAATCAAATCGAAAAAGAAAAGAAGAAAAAGAAACGGATCCTCGTCGAGGAATGTCGCAATGATCAAGTCTTAATTATCAAGATGTGTTGATTAAAAAAAATGTTATGCGAATGCGAGCGGATTAAAGAAAAAGAGAATGATAATAGCCAACGGCTTAATTAGTTTTACGAGCCAATCGTTGTCCCTTATTGAAGAGACGTTCGAAGAGTTTCAAAACCAGTTAAGCGCATACATGCATAAATACATACATATTGAGTCGTCCAAAAATTTTATATAATACCTATTTTCGGTAGGTGGCATAAGGACAGGTCTAAATATATCAGAATGATTGAAAACAAGTGGCATGCATACATATTTCAAAAGGTGGTACTTTAGGCATATTTGGAAAAAGTTTTGGTTACAATATTTTAATTTTTGTCTGTTTTATACGCCTTTAAATATGGAAGCAAACAAAGTGCATTATACACATTTAATGCTTTTCTTTTACCGAAAAGGCAAAAATGCCACACAAGCGGTGAATAAGATATGCGCTGTTAATAGTGAAGGTGCTGTATCTAAAAGAACTGTGCGGAAATGGTTTGCTAGTTTTAAAGCTGGTGATTTCAACTTTGAAGATCAAAAACGTCCAGGTAGATCTTCCACCATAGTTGAAGATCAGATTAAAACACTAATCGAAAATAATCCATGCTATATGACACGTAAATTAACAGAAATGTTAAAAATATCAAAATCCACCATCCATGAGCTTCCACCATACATGTGAAGCTTGGCTACATAAATCGTTTTGATGTATAGGTTCTCGACGATTTTTTAGAAAAAAATCTGATGAATCGCATTTTCATTTGCGACCCGTTTTATAAATGCAACGAGAAGACACCATTTTTAAAGCAAGTAATAACAGTGAATGAAAAATGGATCACTTATAATAATGTTGAGCGAAAAAGGTCTTGGGGAAAGCGGAATGAACCAAGGAGGTCATGCTCTGTTTGGAGAAATTGGAGATATGTTTGGAGGGATTGGAGGTATGCTTGGAAGGATTGGAAAGGAATCCTGCATTTTATCAAACAACGAGACGATAAATTCAGAAAAATATTGTTCCCAATTAAACGAATTAAAGACAGCAATTGAACAAAAACGTCCAGAAATAGCGAATTGTATTGTAGATATGAAAGGGCATTGTATTTCATCAGGATAATAGACGGCCCCATGTATTTTTGATAACTCGACAAAAATTGTTAGAGGTCGGTTGAGATGTTCTACCCCATCCACTGTATTCACCAGACCTTCAGATTTCCACCTACTTCGATTATTACAAAGTTCCCTTAATGAAAAAAATATCAACTCTTTAGTCAAGATAAAAAATCATATAGAAAAATTTTTCACCGAAAAACCTGAAAGATTCTGGAAGGACGGAATTTTCAAATTGCCTGAAAGATAGAGAAAGTTTATGGAACAGAATAGAATCTATATAATTTAATAAATGTATACCAACATTTCAATGTGCTACATTTTAATTTTCCTTCAAAATCGGCACGAATTTTCCGAACAACCCAATACATATACATATAGTATATATATACTCAACAACGTTTAACGAAATGATTGAAGTAGGCTGTTCCGAGACAATAACCATTGATCAAATGAAGAAAAAGAAAAAGAAAAGTTCGTCCAATCGTTTGAAAAACGTTGAGAGTTTTCAAAGAATTTGCACATACTTAGTTTATGATCCCTTTTATGATCCCTTTTTATTATGATCCCTTACGTCGAAAGACAACGCATACCTAACAAAGTGTATTCTTCTTTTTCTTTCTTATTCGTTGTCGGTATTAATCAATATCCACATATTAAAGTTTAGAACACGTCCATATTCCAGAAGATAAGTTTCAAACGAACTGTGATTGTTCTTATATTCGAGTTACGTATTTTCAACACTTGTTCGATTATATTTTTGTATCGATAGCCTTCTTTGCGAGGAAGAACGATAATTCTTCAATATCTTCAAAAAGAACGATATTCTTTTAAATCTCTCGAACGATCATGAATCGCCTTTCATGATAAACATTTTTTAGTCTGCCATAACTGATAAACGAGATTGAGGAGGATCTTTACGAGGAAAACTGAGATTATCCTTGGATGTACCATATTTATCGTTTGATTTAAAACATGCTCCCTCATAATCATCCTATATTCCTTCTATCGTTATCTGAAATCTCTGAACACTTTAAACTTTTATCTTTAGATCAATACATGATCCGTTTCTTTTTTCTTATACATCGTATAGTTATGTATAACTATTTACCTGTCTACAAAGTTACCTAACTACCCGAAGCGGGAATGATTAGTTGCAAAGTTACAAGGGAGATAGCCGATTACCTCCCCATTTTTTCTCTCTTTCCCTCTCTCTCTCTCTCTCTCTCTTTTTGTTTTTTAAATTTTTTTATCTCACTCGAGACGTTTATTCGCAAGACGTTGGTAATTCGGTCGGAAAGTGTAGCCGGTTTCTGGAGTCTCGCGTCCGGGTGTTGTCGCCTCAATTGCGTAAAGGCAAATCTCCTTACGAAAGGGCCTTGCATCTACCAAGCCATGTATATAAGTACGTTCGTGTTTCTGTCCTCGCGTCGTCTGTATACATACGCCGTATGTGCGTCGCAACGGCAGTTGCCGGCCTTTTATTCCGCACGAAGTGACACACCTACGTAGATCTTTATTCAGTACCGGAGAGCTGGATGTTAAACGCGGCGACCTACCGCAAAGCGATCTCGACATCGTGGATTTCCATGTCGTTCGTCTATGGAAACGTCGCTTGTCCGTTTCGTGCGATTTCGTCGTCTAGAAATAAGCTGGGGAGAGAGACGACGATGGTCGGACATCCAATCTCTTTCTCTCTCTCTCTCTCTCTCTCTCTCTCTCTCTCTCTCTCTCTCTCTCTCATTCTCTTTCTCTCTCACTGTCTTTCTTACCTCTGTACTCTTATCTCGTTCGTTCAGAGACTACGCGTAAAATATCGGATACGAGACGGAGTTAAGAATTATGAAAAGGAATAAGAATGAGGTAAAATAGGAAGAAAAATAATTTTCCCTTAGTATTTCATTTAACTATATATATATAAATAAATGCTTATTCGTTTCTCTTTCGCGAAATCGAAATTACTAGTTGTTATATCGGCACGACGGGATCCTAGGAATCTTCCCTTTTCACCTCAACGGGTGGTCGATTCCAATGTAGAAAGAATCCAAGCACCTTGGATTCGTACCGCATCGACAAGTTTTCCCGTATACGTTTTTCTGCATAATTACATCAAAGATATATCTTCATCGTTCTACTACCTATACCATAGTCTTATTTAATCTCAACCCTGTTCGTAATTAATGTCGGCGATCTTATCAACTTGAATGATCGATTTATTAACGCATGGGACAATGACTTTACGTTGGAGTTTGAAAATAATAGTTAGCTATGTATACGCGAATGTTCTATCTTTTTCCATCTCCTAGTATGTTCTCTCTCTTTCTCTCTCTTTCTCTCTCTCTCTCTCTCTCTCTTTCTCTAACTCTTTCTCTTTCTTTCTTTCGTTTCTTTCGTTTCTTTCTTTCTTTATTTCTCTCTCAGTAGGGTACAAGTAAACGAGCTACAACGACGTTCTTCCTTGACGATTGAATGAGCCGTCGTTGAATCCGCGGTACCACGGCGCATTCCGTACAGCTCCAAGTTTTTCTTCCTTTTTTCTCTTTGGCCTCGAACGTCGATGTCGCTCCAACGTTGTATATATGTACGTATAAACAGGTATACAGGGTGTTTCCGAAATGGTCCATCAACTTCCATTATAATAATATAAATTTCGAAACTGAAAATTAGCTGAAACATATTAAGAAATATTGATTCTTAATAGGAACGTAATAATAACCTAAAAATGTAAAATACATTGAAAATATTTATTATAAGTAAATTTAACGAACACGTTACAAGTATGTATATGCAGGAGAAAGATGGAATAGGGTAGGATGGGATGGACTGGTAGGTAGGATACAACAATTATTAACACGTTTATTTAAAAAAGAAGTTTCTTAGAAACTAGAAATCTTATAAAAGAGAATAAATAAGTTAGTTAGTAAATAAGTACCTACACGTATTCACGAGTTCATATTAAATGTTTCAACTTAATCACCCTGTATGTAAGCAGATACACGTACTAAAGAACGCGTTTCTCGTCGCGGATGCCGCTTTTTCCCGATGAAACCTTCATTCATCCAGCCTGACGATACGATCTCATTGAGAAAATCGCGCGCGTCTCGCGTTCCACCGATGCCGGTTTAATGAGCGTCAAGAATTCTTTTAAGAGAAAAGAAAGACTTGTACCTATGTATGTATGTATGTATATACGTGTTTGTGTGTGTTTTTATGTATATATGTATGTTTGTATGTATATATATATAGTTACACAAACGTAGGAACGAGAACGTTTCTTACAATCTTCTTGTTACTTCTTACGAGTATATAACAAAGAGAAAAAGAAGATAATCTTAAGTATTAAAGTATTATCATCATTCATATATATGTATGGTTACGTATGGTGGATTTTAAAAGAGAGAATAAGTTGTTCATTCAACAACGAATAAGTCGAGTATAGACTTTTAATCATTTATTTCTTTTGTTCGTAGAAATCGAAGCACAAGAGGCTTGCAAATGGTTACGGGCTGCAGGTTTTCCTCAGTACGCACAGATGTACGAGGGTGAGTATTTTTATTTTACCTTTTTTTTCTTATTTCTTTCTTTTTTAATTTAGTAAATTTTGTTTCTTTCACATTTAAATCTCAATCAGAAGTAAAGGATTTTCATAGGGATCGTTTCGTAGAACGATATCTCCATTCGGTCAGCGAAATAGAAAACCTTAACGAAAAGCTACGAAAGAAATTCAATTTTAGATAAAATCTCGAGTCGAAACGTCGAGAGGAGGTCTTATTCGAATGTCTATCTTTTTCTATCTTTCTCTGAATGCTCGACAATGTGCAATTAAAATGTGACTCTTGAGTCGACTTCTCGAGAAAAGAGTCCATCCTCTCGTTCTCTTTCTTTTCACAACAATCCTAATTTAATTTCTCAGAGAAAGATAGATACACACATACACAGATAAGCATACACAGAGAGAAAAAATAAAGAAAGAAAGATAGGCATTTTTCTCCTGAGAGAAAGAAAGAGAGAAAAACATTCTGAAGATCCTACTTGAGCTCTTTAATCTTTCCAGCATTTGTATCGTAAAAGATTACGTTGGTATGTCCAAGACATTCATCGAGCCATAATAATAAAACGATCGGATATGAAACTGAGCTTATCTCGAAAACGAACCACGCCGTTCGTCAGAATCGAACATAGAGTATACTAAATAGAGGGGAGAGAAAAAAGTGGGGTAAAAACGTTAGCTACTTTGACGATATCCTTTCATATCTTTTCTTTTTATAGATTTTCAAAAGAATACTACGTGATCTCTCTCGCGTGTTCCACTTCTCTTTTTCGAAGAAAATCATTTGAGAAGCCCCCTCTCGTGAGGGGAGGGAACTAATACATTTATTAAATACATACGTACTTACATACATGCACGCAGGACCCTTAACAGAAGTAAAAAAAGGATAGGATAGGGAAAGGATGACGAAAAAAAAGAAAACAAAAAGTAACAAAAGAAAAAAAAAAGAGAAAAAAAATATAAAGAAAGAGAACCCACGAAGGTGTCAGGTTTCAGGACCCTTTTAAAGGAGAAAAATTGTGACAAGGCGAACATGCTGCTCTAGTACGGAATGGACCACCAGAGGCGAATCGATATATAACGGCTCCTCGAACCTCGAACGTGCCACGAGACACGACTTTTGGTGTACTCGATCTATATGTATACATATACGGGAACAATACTAGCGTTGTTCTTTTATTCGATCTCTGTCAAAGCAACGAAAAAGATTAATAAATAAAAAAGAAATAAAAAATAATAAAATAAAATATAATAAAATAAAATAGAAAAAAAGAAAAGAAAGTAGTACTTGACCGTGTACAAAGAAGTATCGATTTTAAATAATTTTTTTATCACTCGCGACGAAAGACTATATATATATACGAATGACGCTAATAAGGTGCTAACGAGCTTAGTGTGTCCAGTACGTGTGTGCATGCGTGCGAGCGAGCGAACGAGAGAGAGAGAGAGAGAGAGAGAGAGAGAAAGAGAGAGAGAGAGAGAAAGAGAGAGAGAGAGAGAAAGAAAGAGAGAAAGGGAGAGAGAAGAGATAGAAAAAGAGAGAGAGAGAGAGAGAAAGAGAAAGAAAGAGAGAAAGAGAGAGAGAGAAAGAGATAGAAAAAGAGAGAGAGAGAGAGAGATGAGCAAGCGCGCTCGCGCTCGCACGCGCGCCTCCAATGTGGGCAGGAGCGTGCGCCTGCGTCTCTGAGTGTAGTCGTGAGCTATAACGAATGCATTGTTGGTGGACATCGCGACAAAGGGCCCATTATAAGATGTATTAACATGTTCGGACGCATCACTGAGCGACTCGGTAATAATTTACCCTTGGCTTGCTCGGACCAATCCGAAACGGTGCTGCCCACGTGTCGTTAGTTACTACTTTTGCGGTATACGCTTTTACATATATACATACATACGTATAATCAAGTATAAGAGTGTACTCACTGGATTCGATTCGTGACCACGTTTGTCTAGTTTTCAGATTTAAAGTATTTTATTACGTCTTACATGTGTGGTATGGGTGCCTGTGTGTGTATATGCTATAGCACACGCTCTGTCGTTAGATGTTTTCTTTTCTCTTTTTTTTCTTTTTTTTTTTATTGTTATTTTTTTCTCACCTTTCTCTCAAGGTTACATCTCGGATAAAAGGTTGCTACTATTGTTTAACACACGATCGATCATGGCTATGTTTATCCTGATAAGTTAAATCGACCTAGCTCGCATCTCATCACGCTGATATATATACATACATTTTTTTTAAATCTTTGAAATTATTCTTTATATAAGATAGATATCTATATCAATTATTCATCAATAGGAAAGATAAACGATATCGAAAGATTTTCGTAAAATGGTAGAAAATAAAGAATATTAATTGTCGTATTTAAAATCGATTAATAAAACGCGTGCTTTTGTAACGAAGTTAAATATAGATGACTCAGTTTGTATAGGAAATGATGGTGTTATATGCCAGGTGCATGTAAAGAAATGATCTAATACTTCATGTTTGAGCGATCATTAACGTCCTTGGCAGGAGGACGAATGATACTTTAATTTCAAGAGTTAATGCAAAAATAATCATTCGAACGTGCTGGTAGAATGATTAATAACGCGTGTAATTTTTCACTTCTACGTCGCATACTAATTTATGTCAGCACTCGTATTCACAAAGAAAAAGAGAAAGAGAAAGAAAGAATGAGAGAGAGAAAGAGAAAGAGACATGAGAAAGAGAACGCGATCACGAAGAATACTATCTCCAGGCAAAACCTTCGCAACGTTGTTTGAGATTTATGCAAAAATGGCCTTCGCACTTTTTCTATAGCTCTCTTTTTCTCTCTCTTTCTCTCTCTCTGTCTCTCTCTTTCTCTTTCTCTCTCTCTCTCTCTCTCTATCTATCTATCTATCTATCTCTATCTCTCACTCTTTCTCTGTCTCTCTCATAGACTTTTATAGATTTCTTTGCCAAGGATTGAAAATGAAGAGAAAGAGAGAGAGAGAGAGAGAGAGAGAGGAGATGTGATTTTCTGTAAATTAAATCGATGATGAAGATCTATAAATATGGCTGAGCTCATCGCAAACGAGAAGCAAAAGTTATCTGCATTCTTCTGCGCTCTTGTTCGAAAAGGATTGAGAAATCGGATCGAATGATCTAGCATATTCGAAAAGATCGTACGATATTTTTCATTCTCAATTAATTAATAAATTAATTATTTCATTCGAATAAAAATAATGTTTGAAAAATATTCGAATCGTATATTATCGATATCTTACCTATTATCTAAGAAAAAAAAAGAAAAGAAGGAAAGGAAAAAAATTCTAATGGTCCTACTCAAAAACGTATTAACCAGTTAACGAGATTGTTGATAACGTAAAAAGAAAAACGAGCTGTTTCGTCGTACCGTAGTTGTCGTGTGGTTGCGAAGCTAATCGTTAAACGCGTGGATTAACGTAGTAGATCGCGTGTAACTAAGCGGCACGCCAAGACGTTAGAAAGAAAAATCTCGAGTCACGCCACCAGACGGTCGCCTTTCCATTGGCTCGTTTAGTTAACGAGCCGAAGGAACAGCGCGAACTCGAAGGGTCTGAGTTTGACGACGGTGACTAAACGTAAAACGTTGGCACGATCTCTCTTCGAGACGAGAGTGTAGACTTGTCTTTTATGAAATTTCATGGTCGACGCGTGAAATTCAATCTGAGATGAACTACGCTTATCGCATCGTTCAGAAATTTTGATTCTCGTTTGGGAAGACATCGAGACGCCAGAAAAATCACAAGGCTTCGTCAGGTGGCCGTCGTCATCCAATCCATGCTTCCATCCGATAAATTTATAGGGACCGAAAGCTTTACCGAGAGAGTTGCCAAGATAATTTTGATCGGCTGTACTAAAATTAAACGTGGCTTTTGCTTCTCCTCGTCGTCGTCTTCTTCTTCGTCGTTGTCGTCGTCGTGGCAAAAGTCACGATTCACGAAATCGTCGACTGTCGGAAGCACGTGCGGACTCTTTCCGCTTCTTTCAGCTGGCGTTGGCCCCGGGAATAGTGCCAGGAAATCTTCTTGGATCTTTCGAGAGTATGAAAGGGAAAGAGAGAGAGAGAGAGAGAGAGATCTTCTGTCTATCTCTGGCGTACTTTCTTTCCTTATTCACATCGTTGATTCTTCCCTAGTTCAGTACGAAACCGCGACGTTTACCTTTGTCAATTTTCTTCATCTCAGACTATATAAAAGAGAAAGAGAGAAAGAGAGAAAGAGAGAAAGAGAGAGAGAAAGGGAGAGAGAGAGAGAGAGAGAGAGAGATAGTAGTGTTTCTACTATCTAGACAGTCTGTCTCTTACTTGGAATTGCTTTAAAGTCATCGCAGCTGCGTTGAATACCGCTGTTCGAAATGAATTTTCATCTTCTCTCTCTCTCTCTCTCTCTCTCTCTCTCTTTCATTATCTTTATCGTTCTCTTTTTCCTCGTCTTAATTACTTCAGTCGAAGGAATGTAACTGTTTAAAAAAAAATAGATTTTATTTCTCATGCAAAGAAAAGAAACGACTTTCCATAAATTGTTTTATTTTATCTTTTGATTATCAAAATTACCAATCGATCATTTAAACTAGTTTGTTTCTACCTGAATGGAACTATTCGACCTAGTTTTCCGACCCATAACATTCTCGTTTTCGAAAGATGTAGACATATACAAATCAATTAGGTGAAGGTTTTTCTACATTTCTCTCTTTGTCGTTTTCTTAAATGTAAATTTCCTTTGATATCCGATTCTCATAACGCGATGATTGTTATTACAAGCATGCATCGTTCCAATCTGTTTTATTTTAAACAGCAAAAGTGTGTCCTTCAGATGGAACAATCTGTTGTTCCACTTTCAATTGTAATCGATTCAAATTTCCGACAAAGAAATCAAATTTTTTCCTGAAACATTATTTACACAGAAACGATATTGTATATTATTCAAGGTACGATAATGCAATTATCGTTTTTATCTTTTTTTTATTTCCACTAACTGGAATTCTGT